AGAACAAGAAAAACATCTTGAAATCAAACTCAAATCCTTTAATTATAATAAAAAGAAGTCCAAACATACTGGACCAGCTGAGACTGGAAGACACCCTGAGGCGCCCCCTGGGATGCCCATTAAACCTTGAACTACAACTGTCCCAGAGGTCCACCTTATTGAGTGAGATCATTGGACACCCCAAAACAGTGTATCATCCGTGAGGATTGAGCTTCATTAAAAAGATAAAAACTCTTTGAGACCAAGAGGTGGTCACTGACTGTAAAGCCAAGATGGAAGACCAGAGAAACGGAGGTCCTGGAAATGGAACAACCAGAATGGAATGCAAGAGGAAGGCTGCACAGGGAGAGCAACGTAGAAACGTAGGGGAAGAAACAGCAGGAAATCTATGTCACTTCTCTCCTCAGCCACTTCCACCAGCTCCCACCTCACTCTGAGTCAAAGTCAGCCTTCTGGCTTTGACCTGTAGGACCCGTGTGATCTGCTCCCTGCCTAACTGCCCGGATTCACATCCTACTCTCCCGTGCTCCACTCCACACACACCATTTCCCTCTCTTTCTCAAATTCATGCTCACATGAAGGTCTTTACCCTGGCCATCCTGCTGCCTGGACTGCGCTTAACTCAGCAGTAGTATAACAAGGGGAGGATGGGGGAGCAGTCAACCCTGGGTGCAAGCAATAAGGGGTACATTGTAGGTTCCCATACAACATCTCTACTAGGATGCCTAATGCACACCCATCACCAACCCTCAGTGTGGATTACAACTCAGTGTAAAGAAAACAGAAGTCCTCACGACTGGACCCACGGGTCACATCATGATAAAGGGAGAAAAGATCCAAGAGGTCAAGGATTTCATCTTGCTTGGATCCACAGCCAATGTTCATGGAAGTAGCAGGCTAGAAGTCATTAGGTAAGTCTGTTGCACACGGCCTCTTGAAAGTGGCGAAAAGCAAGGCGGGTGCTTTGAGGACTGAGTCATGCCTGACCCGAGCCGGGTAGTTCCAGCTGCCTTCATAGGCATGTGAAAGCTGTGCCAAGACCGAGGAAGAACCGATGCATTTCAGCTGTGGTGCTGGCAACGAAGCATGGGAGAACCGTGGACTGCCAGAAGAACCAACAGGTCTGTCTTGGAAGGACAGCCAGAATGCTCCTTAGAGGCCAGGAAGGCAAGACTGCTTCTCACACTCTGTGGACATGTGACCAGGTGCGACCAGTCCCTGGACATGACGCTTGGAAAAGTGGAGAGGCAGCGAACAGAGGAAGGTCCGCGACAAGCTGGATCAACACAGTGGCTGCCACAAGGGCTCGGACATAAGAACGAGGGGGAGGACGGCCCAGGACTGGGCAGTGCACACAGGGCCACTATGAGCTGGCCCCGACTCCACGAGACCTCACAACCACCACCACCACCACCACCACCACATTCAAACCGGAATGCTAGAATGTCCCCCTCCCAGACCGCCTGTATCACAAGGCTTCCTTCCCATCTTGGTAAATGGCCTCATCATTGACCCAATCACTCAGCATCCAAACCAGAGTCTTGTCTGTCTCCCTCCTCTTTGGATTCCCCACATGCAATCCATCAGCAAGTCCGGTCGGTTTTGCCGTCAAAATGCAACCAGCATCCGGCCACTTCCCATCATCTTAAGGCTGCCAAGCCTGGATACTTACAGTGGTCTCCACCTGCCGCCACCCTCGCTCACTTCAATCTAGTCTACACTCCACAGCCAGACTCTCTAGAAACAGCATTCAGAGCCTGTCTCTTCTCTGCTCAACACTCCTCCCTGCTTCCCCTATTTCTTAGGGCAAAATCCAAGGTCCTTACTATCGCACTGGAGGGAGAGCAAAGAGGACTTACGGCCTTGAGTACAGCATCTTGTTTAATGTCTCTGGAATGCACAAGACTAGCTGTGATCAAAGGCTGGTTCTTCAAACCCACCCAGCACAACCGCAGGGGAAGCCCCTGGTGATCTCCTGTCAAGATGACCGTGGCCGGGCTCATAAAGACTGCGGCCAAGAAAGCCTCAGGTGACAGTCCGACTGTAGCACTCAGAATCAGTTCGACAACAACAGGTTGCATTGTTGTTCTTGTT